TGGTTCGTCCGTGCAGAGTACGATCACATCAGTGTGATTTGAACATTTCTGTTCAAATGAAATCTGCGTTCGCGCTGCCATTGACCTAAAGAGAGCAGCTGTCATCTGTCATGAATGAAACAGCTTCACAGTCTTTTTAGCCACACAGTATCATTATTTATGTGTTACAAACATTCAGATCACAGAAGTACTGGGATAAAAGTTTATAGTTCAGATATAAACGGTGTGTACGATGTGTATGGCAGTGATTAAAATACAGGAAATGAAACAAGTACATCTTGAGTGAGTCATTTAATCATTAATTCATAAATTAGGCTACATGCGATTTGTTTAGTTGTCTAATGTTTTTTCTTCAGAATCAGGAGAGAACCACAACTTCCACTGGGAAAAAAAAAAAATCAATTTATCCAGAATCATGCTTTTCTATTTTGCACACAAACAGCTCTTAAAGAGTCCAGTTTTTATGTAGCCTGTTGATTTTTGTTCATGGTATTCAGCTCCAATAAATGGTTTGCAAAAAAGAGACACAGGATAAATGTTTGATATCATTATTTAATCACATTGGAATCGAAACTGGGAATCAAAAAGAATCCCTATTCAGATCAAATGTTAACTCCGCAGTAGAGTTACACTCACAGGACACTGCACTTATTCACAATCCCAAAAGTGCATTATTTGCATCTGCTTTAAAGCCTTGCCAGTAAAACATTTAATTCACGTGCTGTTCTGACATGTGCTTTTTCTGAGCGCGCACAACTGAAGCGTGTCAGGGCTCGCAAAATTTCAAAATCCCTGGTAGCCCTTCGGGCAGGCATTCTTCAGATTTTGGTAGCCCCAAAATTAATTTAACTAGCCCCGAATAAAAGATATTGTATTTTGTGTCCGTTCAAGCGAAAGAGGAATCAATTCTGTGTTCATGCTCTGTCTGAAACGCCGCTCTGTATGTGCACGCTTTGAGTGGCCAAGTGTAAACACGCTCTAAATCTAATTCTCACTTTACGTGAATGTCTAAATTTGCCATCTTTAAACAAAACCTAAATTTCAGTCAAACTAAACTTCAAAAATCTGCAATCCTTACACTTGAGCTAGACCTCAGCATGGTGGGGGGATGCAGCAGGAACCAACCAGTGAGAAAAGATGTAAAGAAATGCCACAAAGTTCACTGCATACGCCGATTTTGTGTGGAAACAGCTAATCACTTTGTTGACTATCCATCTTAAATATGTTTGCATGATATATTGATTAAGTGAGCTATATTCAGCGAGCTATAATTTAACTATACTGTGAAAAATATTTTTTTGAAGAGACATTTTTCACAACTCACCGCCAATTTTGCAACAAGCTTGATGAACTGTTTGGCACTATCCATTCATCTGTATTGAGAATGACTGTCATAAAACTAAAAAAAAAATATTAATTCAATTATTATTATTCAATGACTAAAAACGATTCAATGATGTCAGGGCTATTGGATGATTGGCTTAAAAAATTTATTCTGTGGTAGACTGAAGACTGAAGTTTGGTGTGTGTATGCGGGCAGAGAAAGAGGGGAAAGAAGGGAAAATGTGATATTAAAAATAACCAATAATTAATAACCAACATTTACTTAATGACTAACTTCCACCCAACTCCTAGCCAGTTCCAGACAAAAAGCATTCAAGCCAAACTAAACTTATTCTGGGCTGGACACTCATGGCACAAGCAAACAGCACCCAAGACAAAGCCAGGAAGCCACTTTTCAGGATTTTAAAATGTCTTTATATGTGACCCATGCTGGCAAAATGAGTTGGATTGCACACAGGCTAATTTTGAGCTACAGGCAAAAAAAAAGAGAAACATTTTTTGGTAAAATTTCAGGTTTACACAAAAAAATATTTCATTCAGCCCTCGTCTAGTGATCCCAATGCTCCACATAGTAATTAAACATCTAAAATTATCTTTATTTCTATGTTTTCTGAGAGGAGTACCTTTTCTCCACTCGCTTCTCGCGCTGCCGCTGACTGAATCGTGCACAAAGTTGCTTACGCCAGCACTCGATCCCAATAAGTATACACACATACTGTATACACAGAATTACAGTATTTAAGTAGGCTATTCATGCAAACATAATCTGTTATGTCTTAAAGGGTTAGTTCACCCAAAAATGAAAATTCTGTCATTAATTACTCACCCTCGTGTTGTTCGAAACCCGTAAGACCTTCGTTCATCTTTGGAACACAATTTAAGATATTTTTGATGAAATATGAGGGCTCTCTGACCCTCCCCCATAGACAGCAAGGTAACTACCACGGTTCAAGGTCTAGAAAAGTACCAAGATGATCGACAAAGTAGTCCGTGTGGGATCTGGGTCAGCGCCGCCACACGCTCGCGTCATGATACTGTCGTGAACGCACGTCCAAAGTGACGCAGTAGAGACGAAAATGCGGAATAAAGTCATTATTTTTGTTTTCTTTGCGCAAAGAAGTATTCTCGTAGCTTCGTAACTTTACAGTTGAACCACTGATGTCACACGGACTACTTTGTCGATCATCCTGATACTTTTCTGGACTTTGAACGTGGTACTTACCTTGCTGTCTATGGGAGGGTCAGAGAGACCTCAGATTTCATCAAAAATATCTTAAATTGTGTTCCGAAGATGAACGAAGGTCTTACGGGTTTGGAACAACACGAGGGTGAGTAATTAATGACAGAATTTTCATTTTTGGGTGAACTAACCCTTTAAGTGAACGTTTGGGGAACTGTTGGGGAAAACATCTGATGTGTAACATTATATTAGATCCGTGCAGTACAGGTCTTAATATATAGCCCGTCTGTCTCATTAATGTTAATCTAACAATAAAAGAAAAGATCGCTGCTCTCGATTGAACTGCTTTTGTAGTTTTAATAATCAGTTTATTTGTAATGAACACACTGAAGTGATTTTTACATTTGATTTTTTTTTCTTTGAATGCTTTTGTTTAGATGTACAATGAAAATAGTAATGCACTGTTTGTTTGTTTGTTTCTTTCTTCATTTATTCACTTTTTAGTGCCATGCCAGCATCAAGGCTTGTTTCTTTCTTACATTTGTTCTATTGTTGTTGTTTTTTGCATCTGTTTTTATTTTTAATAATAAAGATAAAATAAAAAATGGCTATATTGTGATATTATATTATATGGTATACAATATATACAATATACAACATAATATACAATATGGTATATTGTTATTAATATAGTAATTAATATTATGAAAAGAAGTGGAGGAAACAATGCACTGTTGCAAGGTGATTTTGCTTTGGAACCTTGAAAACTTTAACTCGATTTTTCTCAGAACTGACTTTGCTGAATTCATTGTCATTTTTTGTCCGATTACAATAAATCATACATCATTTTGAAAATCTTTTAATGAAAATAAAATAAATTTTTGGAAAATTTGCTCATTGTGACTCATTTTGCCAGCACAGGTCACATATGTTGTGTTTCATAAGGGCTGAAACTGTACACCAACACTTTGATGTGCTGAGCTGGGGCATGTTTAAATGTCATCTGAAGAATGGAGAAGAAAAATGTATCTGGTCTTTGCATGTGAAGTACTCACCCACAGCCAATAAGGGCTGGTAATGGTTGATGTTCTTTGTGGTAAGCGGAGGGCACATCCGGAGGGAGAATGGGGGCAAAGGCAGGCCAGACAGCAGACCTGTCAACAGGAACTTCAGATGTACTTCTTGTTGACCTGCCAGGGGTCGTGGGGAGTCCACTCCAGAAATCAGACTGTGACCTGGAACAGGGACAGATCACATAATTGATCTAACACCATATCAACTGAAACAACAGAGCAGCTCTTTATGGCTGCTTTAAAGCCAAATGAGAAAAGGTGACAATTAAATCATCAATCATGAAAGACCAGGTTTGCTTTGCTCATTGCTCATGCATGAAGTGACCAAGTGTAAACATACCCATTGTGTGTTGTTACCTGGGTGATCCACAAGTGGACATTAATTACATATTTATATAGTCCCTCAATTGTACTCAGTTTTTTGACAGTAACAAAAATGAAATGACATTAAAACATTGTCATCAATTATTGTGAAGATAAGCAAATTTTATCATAAATGAATTCATAATAAACTATAAGTCCACAGCTTTCAGCTTACAGCATGTTTTTTTTTTTTTGAAAGCATCAGTCCTCATTTACTGAACTGCAGGCACGTGCAGAGGGGGGTGCGATGGGTGCTTGAGCACCTGCCCCTTTTCCCCTTGATGCCCAAAGAGCCCTTTTGTCAAGGCAATTTATTTCTTTTGTAATTAAACGCCATTTTGTGAAGGCCTGCCCAATCTAACTATTAGTAAAATTAATGAATAATAATTTAGTCGTAAATAAAATTATCCACATGATGATGACCTTTCACCTGACGATCTCATCAGGGACTATCCCTCACGTTCAGACACCTTTAATGTAGCACACTACCAGGATGCCTTCTAGTGATGGAAATTTTGATTCTTTCAAGAAATTCGTTCATTTTCAGTTCGTTCACTAAAATTATTCGTTCATGCACGGCCCTGCTGAACTGCATTCTTTAAAATACTCTATGTTCCATGGAAAAAAATAAAGTCACACAGGTTTAAAACTTCTTCTAAACCATAAAAGCCCACCAATAGCATTGCTCAAGCACAGAACAGAAGAAAAAGCACTCTTAAAAGCTGTTCAATGCCTAGGATTAAAGACGTAACAGGAGATAAGCCATACCACAGACTAAGAATGTTATCAAGGCTTGTTTCTAAAAGGATAAATAAGATGTACAGATAAAAGCCTCTTGCTGAAAAAGACAGACAGACCTGACCTCAGGTTCTTCCGTCTGAAAATATCTCCTCAAGCCAAAGGCAGGAGAATGAAGCTTGAGACTCTTATGTGGTATATCTAGAAGCTAAAAGGAATGTGTGTGTATGTGGAAGGATGGCTATCTTACCTATCATTGTATTCAGAGAAAGATCTGGGATGCATTTTTGATTCTGAAGTAAAGGTGTTCCACAGAAATTCACGGGAGAATACAAAGGTGGCAAGCCAGAACTGAGGGGAAAAAAAGATGTACTGTAGGTAAATCTCACAAACAAACAAATACATTATTTTATTTTATTCATTTTATTTTTAGGAACCATAAAGATGTTTTGCTTTGTGGCATTATCTTCAGAATTAAGCAAATTTCTCAACCAAATTTTCATTTGTGCAATACTTCTATGATTTTTTTTTAAACTGTATTATTATCATTACTAAAATTATGTACATTTTTATTAAAGCAAGCATATACACTGTACAATAAAAAAAATAAAATAAAAACCGTTTTGTTTTTTTTGACGTGAAAATATATTTTCAATAACAGTTCTGAAAATTAACACCATTGGTTGAGTCAGAAAGTAACATGATAGATATGGCAGATTGATTAAATTAGTATAAAAACTATGTGGTATTTAAAACGGCATAGAATTGACGCTCCAAGAAGGTATATTCAAGCAAAGTAAGCAAAGCCTTTATTATAATACTATTTTCAAGTCTGCTACTAGTCTGTAATGTCTTACAATATAAATCAGTTTTTTATGTTTAAAGAACTGTACCTCAGGCCTGAAGATGATTTACTGGCATGAGCTTTGAGCTCCCACAGCATTACCCTTCCATCACTGACTATGAGGGCGGCACTGTTCTCGTTGACAGGACAGATCACCACTCGGTAGGGCCGCACTGTCTTAGTCACACGGATGGCGTCACACTGGGAGCGGAGATCGTATACCAACTCTTGCACATTCTGCTCTGGATCAATCACTGGAACAACAGAACACATAACATATTTAAGATAAATTACCACATTTCTCATCACAAGTCAAGTAAAAACAGGGGAAGAACTTATTCAGGGGTGTTGCTGGTGCAACATGAACCATAGCTTAGTTGCATAAACATACAATTCAAGACATGGAGTCACAGATGAATTACCTGTCATTAATAAAATATTTAATTCATAGGATTACCCATATCATTCCGGTCTTTACATTTTCAGTAAAAACAACTATACTGTAATATGTACACCTTTATTGTGGTGAAAAAAATTACTTATATGCCCTACCCCCAGATGGAAGGATAGATGTAAGGGAACAAAACCTGTCTTGCCTGTTTCATTAGGAGAAGGTGTTGTGGAACGGCACACACGCAGGGTGATGCAACCGTTCTCGTGGAGGCAGTAAAGAGCATCTCTCTGGGCACAAGGAATCACCTGCAAACAAGACAAAAAAGCATTAGTCTTCAATGTTTCATATAAATCATATAAATTCCTAAAATGTACAGTCTTCCAAAAACGTCTCAGTGGCACCTAATGCCGAGTTCACACTGCACGATTTTAGCCCGATTTTTCACTCGCCAACAGGTTTTGTGAAATCACCGACAAATGCCCGAAATCGGAGGCAAATCGGTGCTCGTTCACGCGAGTGACAATCACGCAGTGTGAATTATCAAAGACGCGATCTGAGGAAATCACCGACACGTCGCCGACGCCCGCAAAATATTTGGCATGCTAAATATCTGGAGCTGTCGGCGATTCACAATCACGCTGTGTACAATGATTTCTGACTGAAAACTACATCGGCGATGACCTACAGCCAATGAGAGACAAGATACAGGGCAGAGGGAAGATCGGGCAGGCATTCTTCTAATGAATTTAACTAGCTCGAATAAAAGATATTGTATTTTTTCTTCAAATAACAAGTCAAGAGAGTAGGGGTGCAACGGATCACAAATCTCATGGTTCGGATTATATTACATTATCATAGTGCTGGGCGGTATACCGGTTCATACCGAATACCGGTGTTTATTTTTGTTATGAAATGAATTCTTAAAATACCGCAATAAAAATATCGCTTAAACAACGTTCGAAACGCGAGACTGTTTGAAAGGGGTCCCTTTTCACTGTTGCACTGTGGTGAGGGAACAGCTGTATGTGTTACTAAGCGTGAAAGATCCGAAACTGAAGCTGTAGAACTAATAGAACGTGATGACACAGAAGAAGCCTGAAACGCCGCTCTGTATGTGCGCGCGAGCACCGAACTGAATTCTTCATGCGCATGAATGGTTTAAAACGCTTGAATGTTTAAATTGGTAAGACTTAGAAACACGTGTAAATGATAAACTATGATCCGTTTCACCCACAAGCGAGTGAACAACACGAATCAAGGAATGGATTTTTATATCACTATTCAAGATAGCCCGTCGGGCAGGGCAGTGATACATTTTGGTAGCCCGACTGGAAAATACAATAGCCCCGGGACGTCGGGCTGGCGATTTTGCGAGCCCTGATATATATCATCAGTCCACAGTCCACACACCATATTGACAAAGAAAAAAACTGATTTTTGTTCACTGAAATAATTACATTCCATAAGTAAGAAATTTAACTCAGGACAATTCCAATATTGCTTATAGATGTTTCTACACTCCGAGTGACGTTAACCTGTGGCAAATTCAACTGAATGAGTATGATTTGGAAAGGCAAATACCTATCAATAAGATAAGGTTAGCGTGGTGACAAAGCACCTGATGCTCACACTAGTTGAGCTCCATGATCATATATGGAGATAGGAGAAACTTACAGAAGGACAAACATCACTGCAGCACTCCACCGATCATGGCTTAAAAGCATTGCAGCCAAACTCAATCCTCTCCTCAGTGAAAACATGAAAACACACTTGGAATTTGCAAAAGAAAAGAAAAAAAACAACAACAACTAAAGGAGTCCCAGACAGCGAGAAACAAGATTCTCAAGTCTGGTGAACCTTCAATTCTAAGCATCATATATGGCATGTATGGAGAACAGTGTTGGGCAAGTTACTCTGAAAATGTAATCAAATTACTGATTACTGATTACTCCTTTTAAAAGTAATCATGTTACTGTTCTGATTACTTTATTTCAAAAGTAATTAGTAATTAGTTACATTACTAGTTACGTTACTTTTTTCTCCATGAAATTTATGAAATCCCAGCATACACGCTCCCGATAAATAGTTATTAAAGCTTGCACCTGTTAATCGTTTATACTTATATTAGTTCATGTTGATTTTGTGCAATAGATGAATAACAATTTATTTGTTTTAGATATTTTATGTTTAGATATTTCTATTTTGCGGCGAGTCCCGTGAATCATTTTATTCTCCCGCATCCCACACACACACGAGTGTCTACTCGCCCATCTTGTCCCGCGCCGTACTCTGTTGCGTCGGGTCTCACGGGAGCAGGTCTCTAATCCACTGGCACTTGACTCGACAGTGCGTGTG